TTGTGAGTATTTCTCTACATTCGGTAGTTGTAGATGATGTTGTTGTTGTTGCTGTTTTTGGCTATAGTAATGTTGTTGCGGTTGTTGTTGTTGTGGCTGATGAAGTATGTTGTAGCGGTCTAATTGTAGTTGTCGTTGTTGTTGTTGATGTAGTTGTTGAATGCTTCGACTTGTGTGGTAGGAAATATTTTCGATTGATTTGTTTTCAATTGTTGGGATGAGTTCTGATGCGCACAACCTCCAAGATGTTTCCTCAGAGTAGTTTCGTGTCAGTTGTCTTAGTTTGGAATGTTTGTTGGCTAGTTGTTGTTGTTGTTGTTCGATTATGTTGTTTTGACTCAATTGTTGTTTTTTTTGTTGATTTGGTTGGTTGGCGCGTTGGTAACAATCGACTGAACTGCTTGTTGTTAGCATGGGTCTTTGAAGCAAGTTGTGTTGCTGTTGTTGTTGCTGTTGTTGTTGTTGTGTTTTTTTGTTGTTTTGTTTAGTGTAATTGGCCTGTAGCGGCTGATGTTGTTGTTGTTTACTCTGCTGTTGAAGTCGATAGTTAAATAGTTTCTGTTTTTGATGTTGCGTGTAATGCTGCTGTTGTTGGGAGTGTTGTTGTTGTTGTTGGGAGTGTTGTTGTTGTTGGGAGTGTTGTTGTTGCTGTTGTTGTTGTTGAGAGTAGTGTTGGTTGTAAGAATTAGAGCAGCACTGCTGATATGTCGGCTGACTCCTCTCATCAGCATCTCCAGCTCCAGTCGAACACTTCTTCAACGAATCATTCAACAAATCCTCAACATTCAAATCCACATCGTCTGTGCACAAGTCACAGCTTCCTCTGCCATTTTTTAGACCATCTCCATTTAATGAGCCCTTCGCAACTGCGGCTAAATCGCTAGGGTAGCTACCACACGACATCTTAATACTCGACTCGCTCGGAGTCGGTTTAACGCTAGTCGAGTTGTTTCGGTTTCGGTGCTTTTTTCTAGAGAGGAAAAGATTAATAGAGATGACGCCTGTCATTTGGGACGTGACGAATGACATAATGGCCAGGATCAGCGAGGGTCCGTAAAAATATTGGAATGGGTAGTCTTCCTTTGATTTGAACTTGTTGCCGGCTTCTTCCGTTATAGCTCCTACGTAAATTATTATGCCTACCAGAGTCAGAAGACCTAAGGGTGTGTGTGTGTGGTTATGTGTGTCTGTGTGTGTGGTTACGAGTGTCTGTGTGTGGTTATGTGTGTTTTTGTGTGTGTGTCTGTGTGTGGTTACGTGTGTCTGTGTGTTGTTATTTGTGTTTGTGTGTGGTGTGTGTGTGTGTTTGTGTGGGATGCGTATGTGTGTGAATGTATTTGGATATATGCGTGCAAGGTGCAACATAACAACAACAAAAACTAATCTGGCAAAGAACGAACAAATTCTAGAATGGAATCCAAACAATAACGAAACGAGACTGAAACTTCAAACCGAAACGAAACGGAATCCTCACCCACCTCCGCTGACGTAAGCGACGCCAAAGGTTATAGTCAGACATTGTTTGTAGACGCTACACTGACTCGCGAAGCATATCGTCTGTGCAGCCAACAGAAACAAGAGGCCAGCCACGGAAATCCAGTGCTTT